CAATGATTGCGAGAGTCTCCATGGCCGCAAACGAGACGATACTAACATCAACGCGTCGACGGGCGTACGGTATGTTTTGAAGAGGTACTTAGTCAAAGCAGTCGATCTTCCAAAAGGGCGTCAACCCTCGCTCTGTCCTCAAGTCGTAAACGCTAAAGTGCAGCGCGCGCGAGCTTTCGGAAAGCTTAAAATAAAATGAGAAATCGGAAGAACTACACGAAAAGACAAGGCAATTATCATAATTACTATTTTACGGAAAGTTGTGATTACGTATAATTATTACAATTGCATTTGTCACAATTGTATAGGAAATGTAATTATACCGTTACAATAAATGTTCCTCTTTAGCATCTTCCTTTCGGCGTCGGCATGCGGGAATCTTTTCCGTCCGTCTTTCATTTGCGAAGGGAACAAGTGGCGAAGAACCGACGATACGAGAATTGCTTAACATTACCCGAGTACCTATGTGGAAGCGTTAAAGCGCAATTACCGTTACGAACGTTACGAACGTTAGACGAAGGACCGAAGTCCGCTAAGTCTGTGGTTTTCCGTCCGGGACAGTTTTGTCGCGCGCGTTTCGCGGTTTTTGCGGCGGGCCGCGAGTCTGGTTCGGTCGACAAGGGAACGGACGCGGACAGGAGCGCTAACGATGGTTAACGAGCTCGGATGAAACGATGAACGGCGACGCGATATGCGCGCGACACAATGTGCGTGCGACACTCTTCTCCTCTCCTCTCCTCTCCTCTCGTCGTCCTCTTGGACCACGCGCTAAATACGTCCGCCAACAAATGCAGTTTGCGTCCATGTAGTATCGCACGCGCATACCGTAATTTCATCGAATACAGCGACGGGAATACTTTCAAATTGTGGGACACTTTGGGAAATCCAATAATGTATAACATATACGTACCATTTGACGTTAAAAGGAAATTAGAGTTTGCCGATATCGTGATGCGTTCTAAATCATTATGATATATGATTAGTACGATAAAAATGTATGTATTATGAAATTCTTTATTTCAATTATACGAGTTATGCGAGTAGACGTTATTTATAAATGTTTTATACATATATAATTTATAGACGCGAAAAAATACAGTAAAAATATATTTTGCGTGGCGGGTGCAAATCATAGGATACTTCGAAACGCGTGATTCGAATGCAAAATATAAATTTCGAAATATTGTGGAAAAGAATATGTTTGAAATATGGAAATATTCAATATTATCGCGCAATTTCATCCGTGTTATGTTCCTTTCTCGTCGACGTTTTATGCTTTACGCTATATATTAGGTGTTGGAATTAATTCGTAGCGTTTTTTAATGAAAGAATGTTATTTATTTCACATGAGCATTAAAAAATACATTAATGAAAGTACTTCCCATCACTTGTAAAACGCTACGAATTAATTCCAACACCTAATAGTATTTGCAGTATTTTGCAGTGAAGAATTATTTTACGTCGTCAGTTTCTTTGGTGAAGATGGATTTTTTTCGTCGACGACGGCAAGCTCGTTTCGCAGAACGAAACGCAAGACGCGAGACAGCGGTGAGCGTTCTCCATAAGGCGAAGTTAAGGAAGTCGACGATGGACACGGAGAAGAAACATTGTCGGGAAAATAAAAAGCAGAGCGAGAGAGAGAGAGAGAGAGGCAAGAGCAAAACGCAGCAATACTTCGTTATTACGCGAAAACGTAAAAGCGAAATACCGAAAAAGAAGTCATGGACGAAGAAGAAGAAGAAGAAGAAGAAGAAGAAGAAGGAAGGAGAGAAAAGAAATTGCAAACAAGTGCAAAACAAAACTTGCATTTTTTTCATTATTATTGTACGAACGTGCGCATCTCACGACTATACGAACGAAAATCCCGTCGTCGAGAAAATGCCATCCATCGGAATTCCATCCCCGCGAATCAAGTCAATACGATGAGTTTAGATACGATGACAACGCGATCTAATTCACTTTTCTAACGCGAGGAAAGAACGAATACGGTAAAATTATCTAAATTGTTTCGATTTGTCTTTCCAAGAGCAATCGCCTTTCTGACGCTTAGCTTTATTTATTTCAAAGAGAAGACAGATCTGAGCAGAACTTGACGGCTTGCCTTTACGTTTATGGTCTTCTCACGTCTGCTAAATTATGTATAAGTCTGTTAACGCAGCTCCTACGTAAAGTTACGTTAATTTTATGCCATCTTTTTAAAGTCTTTTGTCTAACGTTCTAAAGTCAAGAAGCATCTTTCATATCTTTAGAAAGTAAGTAAGCGTGCAGTATTTCTGTGTGAGAAGTAAAACGACGTTCTATACACATCGAATATTCTGTTGAAACGATAGAACATTCAGATAATGGAAATGATGAAGATTCTATTATAGTATATTATCGAAGATATCGAATTAGTAAGCGTTTAATACCCGTGATGCTCGACGTAATCGGGTATACTCGGAAGTAAAGTACTCCAACATCCCCAATGCTATTCCGAGATCGGCGTGAGGTCTCGTAAGATAAGGGTGCGAGGAAGAAAGAGGAGACGAGAATCGGTAGGATTCGATCTCGCGAAATGGTTAAAGTGGCTAATTGGAATCCTGGTGTCGGGCGTGTTAGAGCTTCGTTCGCTCGCAGTACTAACGCGATAAATTCCAGGAGAGAGAGAGAGAGAGAGAGAGTGCGATTCGCTTCTCGATTCTCGGTTATTTCGATCGGTTATTTCGATCTCTCTTCTCACTGCACCTCCACCTTTTGCTCTTGGCACACAGTTCGGAATATGTACCCTGCCTATCTCTTACTCGCTTCTCATTTTTTCTCCCCTGATACTCCACCGACCCCCTTTTTTCCGTCGCTCTTTCCAGCTAAATTCAATTTCCAGTCGAATCGATAAGTAATGAACAGTATGACGAGGCACCTGATGGAGGCGGAATTACTTCCGGTTAATGTCTCCCGTTGGAGCAACGTACCGATAGGTCTTCGTTACTTTGAACCGCGTGGGCTTCCGTCTATCGATTGATACCGTCTATCGACTTTTTTTCCTTGAAAATGAAACCTTACAGGTACGTCAGAATTTTATTATGCGTTTTTTAATTTTTAAATATATAGAATTATCTTTTTACGTTATCGATATACGTTGATCGTTTATCAATACTCGCGATACATTTGGTACTTGATCATTTTGGTAAAAAAGAAATGATAGATCGGATGAGTTTGAAATATGAATCTCGCTTGGCTGGACGGAAATAAAATTGTTGCTTTTCGCGGATTTTTTCGAATGTCCACAATGTTACCTCGAATGCTAAATTCGATTTGTGACGGCGGATCGTTGTGCTTGTCGCAAGCTGCGACCTTTCGCGTTTCGATCGAATCCATCGATCGTCAGTTGTGACATTCAATGATGGAACAATAACAAATGTGCGACAGTTGCTAAAACTAAAGTTACCATCGATCTATGTAACATCTGGTCACTCCAGGCTGGACTTTTAGCGAAATCCAATTCGTATTTCGATGCCTCGATTTTGTATCCATTCAGATAACTCAGCAAGAATCTTTGCAACCAATGCAAACCCTTGTATGAAAATATATATTTTCAAATTTGTAGCTTAGTGACATGAATATTTTGAATTGGATAATCCAGTTCTACTTCATAATTTTTTATTTCTCGAGCTGGAAATGATTTATGGAAACTTTTTGTTCTTTTACGAGCAATAACGTTACTACAACATTTGCGTTAATAAAAAAAAAAAAAAAAACAATCGACTTCAAACAAGCCGAAGACACACGATATGTCCTCGTATATCTACACTTCACGTTGGGTTACATCGGTCACTCAAGGATGTTACGGAGACCGTCATTAGATTAATTAAACTCTCTCGACGGGAGATGTCTCGCGTCGGGTTGGTTCGTACAGAGGTACGACGATCGTTACATCGGGAACAGGAGTAGCGTCCTGTTGGTTGGACCAGCGATATAACGAGGTTAATTAGTCTGACGGACGGAGGGAGGAGGCTTGCCCCCAAAATCCTTCTATTAACGTCGTCAGCTGCGAACGCCATTACTGTCGTATGGCTGTTGCATAACCCGGAGCCCTATCTCGCGTCCTTCGCAATAACGGAGAGTCGTATCGCTAATTTGCCGATTAATTTACGTATTGTCGAAGGACTCAATTGATTCATGAAAATTTTCAATAATTAGGAAATTATCATTCGTCTGGCAAGATGTAGAGTGACTATGACTATGCGAGAAGTTGTTGAAATTAAATTGCTGTTATTTTCTAATGAGTGTAGCCAGAATAAAGTGAATTAAACATCACTTTACAGAAACGTATTATTTTTGCATGTAATATAAAAAGGATATATACATATATTTATGGATTTGCAATAATAAGTATTTTTAAAAGAATTTTACTTGCATGATTCTGGCATGATCCTGTTTTCTTTTTTTAATACAATAAGGAATAAATTTATATCAATGGACAGATAAATATTAATATAAATGTGAAATCTATATTAAAATATGAAATAGAATGAAGTTAATAAATAAAACTTGTAATAGTAGCCAACAAATGATGAAACGAGGTCAAATTAAGACGAGCAAGAAGTCAAATGTAATGTTTATTTCAAGAAATTCATATTTAATGATTGAACATTGAACTCCCCCCGAACGTTTCGAACTACTATAAAGTCCTTCATCAGGGGAAAATTGAAAGAATTGAGATCTATAATATATAAATGCGCTACATTTGTTCCTTTTTTTAGTAACGCATTTATATTATTATCGATTTAAACCTGTATAATTTTTCCGATGTCTGTTGATAAAAAGTTCTGTAATTTTTGTCCGAATTCAATTATTAAATATGAATTTTTAGACTTTCAAATAAATATTACAGCTAATGAAATAAAATATACGATAAAAATGTTTTCATAATGTAAAATACTTTAGTATATATTATTGTATGATTAATATGAATGAGAGTCTCTCGAGAGCCGAAAATGAGAGTTGTATTTGTTGTGTCACAGGTGACTATTAAAGCGTCGTTGATCACCTGTGGTGAGGCATATCCTGTCCTAAGATTAAACGACACTGTGGAAGCCGTGCATCCGACGGGAGAGCTCGAGGGTGAGTTTGCACAATTGCGGTTATGGAATTTTGCGCTCTACATTCTCGCAACAACTCCGCGCGATAATTTCGCAATGTCGCACATTTGTAATACTATCAAATATCACTGGTGTGCGCGTCCTTTTTTTAATTGTACTCTTTTCATTTGGAAAATATTTCACACGAAAACCGCTACCGGTTTGCCGGAAAAAATGACACCGCCAGAACCGTTACCACGCCCTTTTCCGCTGCGACAAAAAAATGGCGCAAAAAAAGGACATTACATATACATTACATATACATTACATACACATGAATCCATACACGTAAATCATGGTATTCTTTCTTTCCCTTCTTTTTGCTGAACCACGCGTTTTTTCCTTCATCTTGCCGTTAATGATGAGAAATTTTAAAACATTCCACTTAAGAGTGGAATCAGCCGGTTGGGTACAACGGGAAATTCCCTTTTCATCTTTCCTGTCTCTCAAACCTGCGGGAATTGTCCCGCATGGCGCACCACTGAACCGGGAATTAGAAATCGATTTTTTTTTTGCTTGTAATTAAAACCCTGTGAAATTTCGTCCGTCGATAGTTCGCATTCCCCAAGGTGAGATCACGTGTAAAAAAAGAAAAACAGGACGAGGCGAACTATCTTCTCGATTAACGATGACACGATGAAACAAGGAGTCGATCCGACAAATTCTGTAGTTAATACATCTCCGTACTGAAATACTTTGTACTTTGTAATAATAACTTAAATATTATCAAAGGTTTTTCTTGTATCTTTCTGCAATGTATTTCATTATGCATTTCTTTTGTTTTATTTTTTTTAATTATTTATGATGTGTAACATTTGAATATTAATCATAACATAAATTATTCGACATGTGTAACTAAATAGAGCTTCGAAATATTTTCATTATACGAATTAATTTCCAACGAGAATAATTATTGGTGTAGCGACGTCAAAAGATAGAATTTATTACATACATCGACGTGTAACTTGTTCGCCGCATGTGATATTTATTTATTAAACTTGAAGGAAATGATTGCGTTTCGTTCATCCGAGTAATATCTTTCCTTTTTGTGTAATTCAATGTAATTTTTATCTGCAAAATAAGTAAAGCTTCATTCCATCCAGTTTAACGCGCGGAATTAAATGCACCATACAGTAACCATCAGCATGCCAACGCTATCATGTTAATTACCTTGCCCATGCGGATATAAATGTACTCGAGATCATCTTATTAGCGTGCGTGTAATATTTGTAACAGTAAACAGAATTATTATTATTAAAACGTTTAAGGAATTATCTCATAACATTACCGCGGAACAATTTCTATGTTTTGCAATATAATCTTTAGCTTAATTTATTTTTGCCAGCATTGACAAATTTTTTTAGCGATTTAGTGCATTGAATTTTCGAAATTTTTTTACTAAAATTGTAATTTTTATTTTTTCGAAATAAACGAAGTTTAGGATATTAAATTCTGCCAATAGAACAATAAGATAGGATTATCTTTCTCAATAAATAAAAATGATGGAAAAGTCCGAGTTTTCAAACTGTAAAATTCTAAAGATAAAGATAATAAATTCTTTAAAATATAATAACATTTCGTCTAAACTTTACCAATGTGAAATGCAGTTTGTGAAGTCATGTATAAATCATTTTACTTTTATTAATTGTTGTTTAAATGAATTTTATTTGATAAATGAGATTTTTGGATATCTTTGTAAGTAGATACTTTTAACATGCGCGAACATATCACATTCTATTGATGTCAAGACTTGATCTTATTACAAGATTATTAAGAGTATATTGATGTTAAATTACTCGTTATCGCCTAATCGCTTTTTAATCCCGTTCGATCTACGTTGATTATAAAAGCAAGAAGATTTCATGAAGGTATCTACACAGGAGAAAATTTGTCTTCGTTAAATGGGAATTAAGGGATTACTAATTTGATTATTAGTACGCTGAACTTTGTTTTAACTCACGATGCTAAAAGTTATAAACGCTTATCTAACTTATAAAGCTTATAATTGCACTTAATATCAATTTATCTAAAAACTTAAAAACGATTGAATAACGTCATGCGAAAAAAGTTTCTAAGTTTTTCGCAGTTTCAGACACAATTTTAGTGTAACTCGGAAAATCGCAAATATTTTGCATGAGCGATAAAATGCAAAAGAAACGTATCGTTTTAATGTGATAACACTCGATTATCGGGAAACGTTGACTTTATCGGTGTACTACACAAAACTGAAACTTTTGGTATGCAATATTTCACGTGGAACAACCCGCTAGAATTTTTCGGGAATTTTTTGACAAAAGAGGAAAGATCTCTTTTTGCAGGATTGGGTCCTTTTAAAATGGTCAACGTGCGACATTGCAACACAATTGAATTTTCTTATCACTCGCTGTCTGTAGTGCATTGGTTCTTAGCGAATAGCAAGCATTATTTTGGCACATAGGAACGATCTTTTGGAAGCGGGAGGTTTTCAAGCAGCGGAAAGGAGAAAGAACAGCGTCTTGAACGACGCGCCGAGAGAGGTTTAAGCGAAATTGCTTTCGGCCGAGCGTCTTCGAATGTTACCGAGGGGTAGACACGTCTTTAGCCGGATAACGAGATTGCCGCGACATGTTCCGAACATATACGATATGTACTGTTACATCCCCTTTGAGTGGGACTTGTTGGACTTGGACTTTACGCTGGTTGCGTGGATACTTGTACGCGATGAGAGACAGACCGCCCTGTAGATATTTGCGTCCAATGACGCAAGCCAGACAAATAGATGTTTGAAAACATGACTACAAAACGTACGTTACTTTTAGTAATTTCGCTTGAGAATTCACGACGAGGCAAATACTGATCTAAAAAAATTATAATTTATTATATCTCATTTATTATAACTTTATAATCTTATACCTACTTTCTTCTAAGAACGATCAGAAAATTATTTCTTTAAACAATTCGACACGTAAAGAACGTATTAATAGTATTAATGTGAATAGTGTATAATTTCTTTCTTTATAATTATACTTTACTTTCTACGGAAATTAATTACGAAAAATAGATATTTTTGCGTCGTTATTAATAATAAAACTAAAGACCTTGTACTGTGTGCCTTAAATGTTCCGAGATTATTATTTCATCAAAACAATGGGGTTTTTTCGTAATCATATATACGTTGTGTTTTACGTTAATTTGAAACGCTCGGGTATCTAAGGGTTAAATAACGGGATGTCCAGAGGGATTAACCAGTAACAAAGCTGAATCTAATTTGCACGGTGGCATCCTCCTTTTTGGAGACGCGCATCCCAATTATAAGCCGGGTCGCGTCTGAATTGCAATCCGCGAAACACTTCTTATCAAAGTGGAAGGATGCGACGCTCACACGTGCCGCATCGTAATTATCTCGATGTACGATCGATACAAATGCAAACACACATACAAACATACATACACGCTGTATATACGTTATACGTTACTCTTACATTGCCGCAGTAAATTACATAGCACGGACGCTCGCGGCACTCGCGGAATTCAGCAGAATGGCCTGGTCTGTACCAGCGATAGAGCGAATAAAGTGTCGGATGTAATAACGTTTCACGTGATACTGCCTGCCTATTGCAATTCCCCTTCGCGCAATTCGGTGTAAAAAGCAGCAAACGGAACTATGAGCCCGGATATCTGCAACGCGAGAATGCGACGAACAAGAGTGACGTATGGCCTATAAAGGACACATTGCGGGAAACGTATAACGTTGTTATATGTTATATTTAAAACGTTACATACAGACTTTCCAAGATTCTTCGAAATTTCCAAATGCGTTTGAAGTGTTCTTTCCAAGTTACTCTTAATTAATATTCTCGGAGGAAAATGGTGATGCTTCACTGAGAGAAAGGATTTTGTTAATTTAACAAGCCATCAGTATCTTTAACTGACCATGCCGGTAAATATGTGACAACAAATTTTGTTGTTGTGATTGCTGCTATTTTGCTATAACAATTATTAGTAACAGAAGCAAACTACAGAGTGAGAACGAAAAGTATTCGTACAAGGAAATTTTTTTATGAAAAAAATCTTATTTGTAGAAAATAAACATTAATTAACAATTTTATACAATGAATACATTCTGGTCTAAACATAAACAACTGAGCTTTGCATGGATTTCTGATTTTAGAAGCTAAATTTCTCGACTGTATGAATACTTTTTGATCATACAATATAAACAATACAATTTTTAATTTTCGTTTATTTTTCAGATGATATATTTTCCATAATTAATACACATCTTTTTAGTATATAATTTGATATATAATTTTAAGAAACATACAGTCTATTTTATTCTTTATGAATAAATTGTTAATTATTTAGCAAGAAATGATCGTCAATTAAACGTCGTATTGATGTCATATTGGAGTTGAAATTATCGTATCGATATTCATTCGACATCAATTCGATGATTCATTTCTTGCTGGATAATGTTTACTTTTTAAAAATAAAATTTTTTAAAAAAATATTTTCTCCGAATACTTTTTGCTCACTGTATACAGAATCTAACTTATCTTTTGGATAGACTTTAGGCTCGTTTATATAGAAATCGTTGATGATCGTGGAGTCTTAAGTAAAAGAAACTGACCAAGCACAGTCAAATATAGGGAGAATATTTGACTAGAATTATCCAATTTCTTATGATTTAAGACTCTGCAATCGTCTACGACTTTTTTGTATATATATATATATATATGAAATAATCGCCAAATATTTCATGGGCAGGTAGAGAAGACTAAACTGAGTCGAAAAGTCCTCTACCATTTTGCAATTTTCGCAATAGTTAACAAGTTAATTAATTAATTACTAAAAATTGCCAAATATTGGTCTTGAATAATTTTTTACTCAAATACTATCAACTTTATAGAAAAGCTGCAAGAGACAAAAATCATATATTTTCTTCTCATAAAGTTCTGAAAATTTTTAAAAAATTTTTTCAGAATTTTTCAATACCATATTTTT